GTCCCGACCCGAAACGTCAGCTTTCCTGCTCCTCTGAAGCTGCCTGGCCTGCAGTGTTCCTCCAGCTCCACACCTTGTTATATATAACACCAGCTGATTTGTTTAACTTCTGAGACTCTAGGCTGCAAAAATTAGTAGGTTTTCCTTAATTTTTAGATAACAGATAAGGAAATGTGTAATTAAATAGCAAAGCGTCGGGGGGTGGGGGGAGCGGGGTGTTGGGAAAGACGTTTCTTTACATTGATGAATTATAGCATTTTGGTGATGATTTACAAAACAAGGAAATACCTCTGTGAAAGTGACAGTATCCCTCCAGCCTACTACCTGGTGACCCATTCAGTGTGCAATCAGTGAATTAGCTAAGATTGGGATCAATTATAATAACTCCATCTGCCAGCCTTCAGTGATAGGACCAACACATGAAGAATTTGAGCCAGGTTCTGGAGGGTCTCAGGTTGAGTTGAGAGAAGCAATAATGGGGAATGATTTCCAAATGATATTCCCTGAAGGCTATTACAATATATTGTGATATCTTTGATACAGATTTATCAGAGATTGTACATTACAACGAGATCAGAAACATCAGGAATTTATACAAGATGGCACATTGGCTGGAATGCATTGAGAAACTGCAACTCTCGCCAGCTCCAGATAACAAGCACCAGATACTTAAGGTTTACATCTTTTAAGTAGACCCAAGCCAGATTATTCAGCTAGATCCTATGACCAATTTAATACCATGTCATGTTCTTTGTTTCTTGATGAATATATGAATGCAATAATGAGTAACAAGAAACATCAGGGTTCAAATTCTGCATCAGGTGAATTGAAGTGTTATTGAACTGCATGACTGGAACTGCAATGATTTGAGATTTTAGTCAATGCAATGTGGCAGGGAGTATAATACAGCCAGAGTTGATATACTGTCATGATATGACACTCATATTCATAAGCTCAGCACTCTGGATTGTGCGCTAGTGAAGCCTTTCTGATGCTTGCCCATCTATGATGTACAATTAGAGTCCTACAGGGTATATATCATGCAAACCATATTCAGTAACTGTTGGACCAATAAGACTGGGTCACTTACACAAATCCAGAGCAGGATAATTGACCTTTCAAAAGTTGAGTTCCTGGAGCTCCTAGAAACATAGAGAATAGGAGCAAGAGCAGGCCATGCAGCGTATCAAGCCCACTTCACCATTCAACATGATCATGCTGATCTTCTATCTCAACACCATACCCCACACTTTCTCTGTACTCCTCGACACTTCTGGCCTCCAGAAACTGACTTTTTTTCTTGAATATATTCAATAACTTTGTCTTCCACAGCCTTCAGTGGTAGAGAATTCCTTAGGTTCACCATCTTCTGAGTGAAGACATTTCACTTCATCTTAATCCAAAATGGCCTATTCTGTATCCAGAACCTGTCCCTTAACATCATCCCTGCAACCCAGTCTGTCTAGCCCTGTCAGAATGTGATGTTCCGTGTTCCAATGAGGCTAACTCAATCCCTTTATAAGTCAGCTCCTACCTTGAGTACAAGTCTGCCTATACACTCTTCTCAGGAATTCTCAAACTCTCTCAGTTGTAACATGCGAACTGTCCTTTCATTAACAAACATACCACTCGTCATAAAACCAGCGCATCTCAAGGGACTTTGTAAGAAATGCGCTTAATTTATAAAATTGATCAATGCAAAAGGGGAGGGGTGGGTTACAGCTCTTTGATTGTTACAACCACGAAACCAGAATCTTGATCAATGCAATCTGGTGTGGGAAGATTGATGGTCCCTGAGACCCTGGTCATTGCAATTCGAATTGAAGGGTCAGCTCAGGACAAGGTAAAATACCGGGACTCACCAGCCAAACTATCGTAACAATCGATTTCGGTGTTTTCGATCAGTCGTTTCTGTTCCTCGGTGAGTCTGATGTGTGTTTTGCTCAATGCATTCACTTCTGCAGCCGCAGCCTCGCTGATCCGGATCCCTTTGAGTTGCAGCAGAGCCCGGTGATACTTCCCGATCGCCTCCCGGAATTTCTTCTCTCTGTAACACTGGTTCCCCTCGGTCTTGAAGCTCACCGCCTTCTGGATCTTGTAGGTGCTTTCCGCTTCCCCGTCCCTGTGCTGAGCCGGCGGGTTCCTGACTTCCACTGCTGCCTTCCCTGGGTCCCGGATGCTGGCTGAAGGCTGGCCGACTGCCCTCGCCCCCGTCCCGGGCTGCTTCTTCGATATTCCCCCTAGGCTGATGCTCTGCGTTTTCAGGGGATGTTTGGCTTCCATCTCTCCTACAGGCAGACCATTTCTCACCAGATCCGAAACCTGTCGCCTCTTGATGGTCTGGAGCAGTTTGCTGTGCATAAATGAGGGCGTTTGTCCGTGTGAGTTAACCCCCAGCAACTGGCGAGATTCCTGAAAGGGGAGCTGTCCTTCAGCACCATGGACAGCTCACAGCGCGCAGCGGCGGGCGGACCGGCTCACTACAGCGGCACCCGTTTCTCTCCCATTAACCCTTTCGAAACACAGGCTTTTTTTTAACCCCACTTTCCCAAGCGCAACCCGAGTCGCCACAACCGAGGGAGCCAGGGCTCGAACCGTTTGCACATTTGCAACAGCGCGCCTCAGGTTACTGGCAAACTGCTGCAAGACAAGATGAACAACCCAAGTTTGCACTTCACCCGCCTCCCCACCCCTCCTCTCAACGTATTTGCAGCAACGGCTGGCGTTGGTCTCTATTTTAACTCTTCAATTCGGTCGCAATTCAGACCATGGGGTTGACATAATCATTAACCTCAGTGTCTTCTGTGCTCCACATTCGAGTCCCCTTCCTTCAGAATCAGATATTTAACTTTTTTTTTGAAAAAAGACACGATTGCAATTTGAAGTTTGTTGCAAGTAGCAAGGGCGAGGCTGCAGTTCTGCGGTATCCCCACGGGTTGATGCAATGGCAAATTCCAACTACAACCACCCTGATGTAAGGACATTAGTCACCAGTGAAGTGACTGACGCATAAATAATTCAGAGGGAACATTGATGCCCAGCAGAGGATGACAACATTAAGATGACTTCGCTCCCAAACGAGCCCCCCTCCCCATGACGGTATTCCCCACATTTAATAGCATTTACTGGATGTAGAGCACCATCTGCCTATTAATTATATAACTCCTGGTTCTTATCCACTCAAGCGTCCTGTTTGCACCGAATCAACCAGCCGTTGTCTTCCCCATATGGTCAGCCATCTCCAGAGCTCAGAATAACGAAACTGGCGTAAGAGCTATTCTCACCGTCTCGGTTTCTAAGACCCATTATTGCAAAACAAATCAAATCAATAAATGGCCTCAGATAACAGTAAGTGTGAACCGTGGAGCAGTTGGTAACACCTCTCCCGGTTAGGAGGTTGTTGATACTGCAGTGCAGGTTGGAGGAAGTGCTGCACTGCCGATGGGCTGTCTTCTTATTGCGCTGTCAGACTGGACGGCAAAGACGCCATAGCATTATCACAGAACAGAAAGCCTGGAGAAAGCTGCCCTAGATGTATCCCTCCACCAAGTAAAGTCACCATTGTCCTAACAGACCATAGCTGTTTTCTAATTAGAGAGACATCAGTGGTGGTGAGTTTACACTGAGGGAAAGCTGTTGCAAAGTCCTTCATGGTAGGTGTGGGCATCACAAACCAGCCATCCAGCCAACTGAGCCAATCAAGCCCTCCACTAAAATCAACAAAACAGATGATCTCATCATTACCATGATTGTTTGATCCTGATGGGCACAGATTGGCTGCCAAATTTCTGACACTGATACCCTTGTCACTCTGAGCCCTCACTGCACCTCACCAATGCTGCCAGGTACCATACCAGCCCAAACTCGATTCTGCCACTGCCATGAGTCCGCTTCGGGCTCACCTTGCCAATGTAACTACTACCAATGCCACCAGGTTGTACTGGGTCCAGAAAAGATTTACAAGGATGTTGCTAGGAGTGGAGAGTTTGAGTTATAGAGAGAGGCTGAATAGGCTGGGGCGTTTTTGCCTGGTGTGTAACAGGCTGAGGTGTGACATTATAGATACTTATAAAATCATAAGAGGCATAGATAGGGTGAATAGTCAAAGTCTTTTACCTAGGTTAGGGGAGTCTAAAACTAGAGAACATAGGTTTAAGGTGAGAGGGAAACATTTAAAAAGGACCTGATGGGTAACCTTTGCATGCAGAGGGTGGTAGGTGTACGGAATGAACTGCCAGAGGGAGTGGTGGAGGTTGGTACAATTACAACATTTAAAAGGCATTTGATGGTATACTGTTGGATAGAAGAGTGTTTCTCTGCTGTATGACTATAATTCTATGACACTACAACACATACTACACGCCAAAAGAATTTCATTGGTTGAAATGCACTTTAGTCCTGTCAGGCATGAGATAACTAATGTAGATTTTGCTTTCAAGGAGCAGTGACAATTAACTTGAGCAACTATCCATATCCATAGTTTAGATCAATGGCTGTGACCTCAGCTGGGGTCACAGAAACAATATATATGAACTAGATGAAATAGGAGCAGGAATAGACCTCTTGGCCTCTCAAGCCTTCTCTGCAATTCAGTAAGATAATGGCTGATCTGTTTGTGTTCAAATTTCCACATTTCCATCTACCCCTAATAGCCTTTGGTTCTCCTGCCTAACAAGAATCTATCCACCTCCATGTTAAAAATAATTAATATCCCTCTCTCTACTGCCTCTGAGGAAGAGAGTTCCAAATATCCACAATCCTCAGAGGAAAAAAAAAACCCCTATCTCTATTCTGAAAGGTGACTCCTAATGTTAAACAATGCACTTTTGTTCCAGACTGAGCCACAAGAGAAAACATCTTTTTTCACATCAATTTTGCCAAGATCTTTTACACTTTCAATCAAGCCACTGTTCATTCGTCTAAACCCCAATGAATACAAGCCCAGTCTGTAAAACCTTTCCTCATATGACAACCCAATCATTCCAGGTATCTATCTGGTAAACCTCCTCTGAACTGCTTCCAATGCATTTACATCCTTCCTTAAATGAGACTAAACAGTACATTATATTTGAGATGTGGTCTCACTAGTACTTGTATAATCAAAGCCTGACATCCTTCCTTATATGTTCAATTCATCTCATAAGAATGGAACAACCCATTAGCATTCTTAATTATGTGCTGTACTTGCAAACAAACATTTTGTGACTCATGCACTCCAACACCCAAATCCCTCTGCACATCAGAATTCCGCAATGGCTCTGTGTAAGTATTACGCAGCTTGTTGTTCTTCCTGCTAAAGTGAACGTCACATTTTCCCACATTATATTCCATCTGCCTCGCCCCCTCACTCAACCTATCTATTTCTATCTGCAACCTTATGTCTTCCTTATAACATCCTACCTACCTATCATGGTGTCATCTGAAAATGTAGTTACCAGAACTTATCAAAGTCAAAGTCATTGATGACAATTTGTAAAAAAATTGAAGACCCAGAACAGAACCCTCATGGAACTCCATCCTGTGAATTTGATGTAATGCAGTCTGAGATTTATATTTATATATTTAGTATCATTTATGTTAAGTTTAGAATTTGAAGTAGTGACATGTGGATTTTTCTGTGGCTGAAGTAACCAATATTTAACTTGTGAGTATTTCTGTAGCTATGGTTAATAAAAAAAAATTGTGACTGTTAGTTTGCAGAATTAATGGGTTTGTATTTACTGTAGGAGATCCTACAACCTCATGAGGTAAATAATTATGCTTGAAGGTTTCTGGCAGAAATTTCTGGATTTTTAAAATTAAGTTTAGGGGAACCCATTGCTTAGAAAAAGGGTTTTTACTTTCAGTAGACAAACAAAAAAAAAAGAGAACTGCAAATGCTGAAAATTTTCAGAAGTGTCACTGGCCATGAAACATTAACTCTGATTTCTCTCCATAGAAGCTGCCAGACCTGTTCAGATTTTCCAGCAATTTCTGTTTTTGTTTTATTTTCGGTGTTGGGCAGTCCTGCAGAAGTTTTCATGTGTAAAGTTGCTCCTGAGAAAGGAAGAAGATAGATTTGTTAACACTAGATTACATTAGAGATTTCACTATGATCATGATTGATCATCCAACTTAGTACCCTGCTCCCATTTTCTCCCCATACACTTTGGTCCCTTTAGCCGTAACAAATGTATCCATCTCCTTCTTGAAAACATTCAATGTTTTGGCCTCAACCACTTTCTGTAGCAGAGAATTCCACAGACTCACGACTCCAGGTGAAAAATATTCTCATCTCTATCCTAAAAGGCCTACCACTTATAAGATAAATAAGAGATACGAGCAGAATTAAGCCATTTGGCTGATTGAGTCTTACCTTTAGGCTGTGACCCCTGGTTCTGGACTCCCCAGTAATCAAGAACATCCTTCCTGCACCTACTCTGTCTAGCCCTGATGGAATTTCATAGGTTTCTATGAGATCCTCCTCATTCATCTAGTCAGTGAATATAATCCTAACTGATCCAGTTTTTCTGCTTACGTCAATCCCATCATCCCAAGAATCTGTCTGGTAAACCTTCTTTGCACTCCCTCAATAGCTAGAACATCCTTCCTCAGATAAGAGATAAAAACTACATATAATACTCCAAGTGTGGTCATACCAATGGCCTATATAGTTATAGCAATATGTCCCTACTCCTGTACTCAAATCCTCTTGCTATGAAGGCCAAAGAGTAAGGAGTTAGTGATAGTCCCAAACTGAAAATGTTTGGATAAAACCCTGAAGAAGTGTTTTGCAGCTGAGGACATTTAGGCTCAGTTGTATGATTGCTCCATGATCAAGGTATCATATTTTTGAGACTGGGAATTGAAGTCAAATTGAACCCATTGAGGTGTCACAGAAAAAAAACTTTCTGGTGTGAATACTGTGCAAGGGGTGCTTTTGAGTACTGTGCTGAATGCTCTGAGATCTCAAATGGAATGTTTTGGGCATTAATGGGATTACATTTCAAAACCTTTAAGTTTGTGTTATAAGTAAATAGTTTGGTTTATTCTATTTTATTTTTATTTCTTTTGCTTAATAAACTTGTTATTGTTAAAAACACATTTGCAATATTCTGTGCTTATTTTTCAGTGAAAGACCACTAAATTAAAACCAAAGCAACATATGACCACCCAGCCAGTTTCAGTCTAGGATCAGATTTGTCTAGTAATATTTGCTGGAATCAGACTTCAGACCCAAGATTCATTTATACATACTTTCTGTTTTCTGCCAACAAGCCAATCTTCTACCCATGCTAATATGTCACTCCCCCATAACATGACTGTTTATTTTCTGCTATTCCCTTTGATGTGGTGCCTTCTGGAAAATCAAGAACAGTATGTTTACTGTCTCCCTTTTCTCCATAGAGCATGCTACTGTTTCAAAATACTCCAATTAATTGGTTAAACATGATTTCCTTTTGATGAAAGTGCGTTGACTTTTCTGATTACGTTGAGTTTTTCTAAGTGTGCAAGTATAATCTCTTTAATGATTGATTCCAGCATGTTCCCCATTAGACAGCGAGGTAATTGACCTATAGTTTCCAGATTTGTCTCCTTCCCACTTGAACAGAAGGGTTACTTTTGCTACTTTCCAATCTGACAGAC